TGCCAGACACCTCGGGCTTGAGCAGGATCTGTCTCAGAGGCTTGTTGGTGAGGACGATGGTGTGGGCTTAGAAGTATGGACGAAGCTTGCGAGCTGCTATGATTAACACGTACACTAGTTTCTCGATCTCCAGGTACCTAAATTTTGCATCCTGCAAAACTTTGCTAACAAGTAGACGGGTCGTTGAACCCAATCTACCTCTTTGATTAGTACCGAGCTGACCACCTCGTCACTCGCGGAGAAGTACAACTTTGATACATCCYTTCTTCGGGTCGGGTCAGAACCGGGGTGCTAGCTATGTATCATTTTAGCTCGTCGAAGGAGAGCTGACACTCTGCAGTCCACTCAAAGTCTCTACTCTTTTTTATGGCTTTAAAAAAGGGTAGGCAGCGATCTGCCGATTTGGTCATAAATCGGCTCAGGGCGGTTATCTGGCCATTCAGCCTCTGAACCTTTTTTACTTTGCGAGGTGGTTTCATATCTAAGATGGCCTTTATTTTTTTCGGGTTGGCTTCGATGCCACGTCGGTTGACTATATAACCCAAAAATTTACCCGACGTGACCCCAAAGACACACTTGTTGGGATTTAATTTGATATTATATTTTCGTAAAATTTGAAAAACACTTTGCAAATCATCTAACAAAAAGTTTGAATACTAGGTCTTCACGACCATGTCATCAACATAGCATTTTACTTTATTGCATATTATATTTTGTTTACAAGTCTTTAAAAGGTTGCCCCGACATTTTTTAGTCTGAAAGGGCATGACCTTGTAGCAATACAACCCGAGCTCAGTTATAAAGTTAGTTTTTCTTCATTGGCGGGGTCCATCCTAATCTGGTTGTAACCGGAATAGGCATCTAGGAAGCTCAACAACTCATGCCCTAAGGTTGCGTCCACTAGGCGGTCAATCTTGGGCAACGGAAAGCAGTCTTTCGGGCTGTCTCTATTCAAGTCGGTGTAATGGACGCTCATGCGCCACTTGCCGTTGGTCTTTTTTACCAGAACTGGGTTAGCTACCCAGCTCGGGTAATGGACTTCCATGATGAACTCTGACGTTAGGAGATTCCCGACCTCTTCATCGACTACCCTCCAGCATTCTGGGGCGAGGTTGCGCTTTTTCTGTCTAACTGGCCTGACTAAGGGATCGGTATTTAATTTATGAGTTAGAATCTTGAAATCTATTTCGGACATCTCTGCCTCAGACTAAGCAAATATATCTAAATTTTGTAGAAAGAAGCTTACCAGCTGAGAGCGAAGTGGCTCCTCGATTGAAGCGTCGATCTGGAGAGTCTTTGTTGGGTCATCAGTTGAGACCGGGATGTGGATCGTCTCCTCTGTTGGGGCAGCTCGCTCGTTGACATACTCTGTTGGTCGCTTGAGCTCGATGTCAGCCGCTAGTTTTGCTTTCCTCTTGAGGGCTGCTAGCACTTGCGAGATTCGAGCTAGTCACCTCGCACAAATCCTACTCCGTAGTCTGTTGGGAACTTCATTGCCAGGTAGTTGGTGGATATTACCACACGTAGGACGTGCGTAATGGGGCGACCTACTATGGCATTATAAGGAGAGGGAGTTCGACCACCATAAACGTGTTTTCGAACCTTGCGATATTTGGCCACGTGCCGGCCTCTACAGGTATTGAGACTCGCCCAAGAGGTTTAACCTCCTCGCCGCTAAATACCAGTGGAGTGTCTGTCGGCTTTAAGTCGCTATTCTGGAGTTGTAGCTTCTCGAAGGTGTCCTTAAACAGTATGTCTGTCAAGCTACCCGAGCTCACCAGGATGCGCTTGACTTCGAAGTCGTAGAGCCTCAGTTTTATCACCAGAGCATCATCGTGAGGATACTAGATCTCGCGCGCATCGTCCTCCATGAATAAAATTGATTCTTCAAGTCGAGGTCGCTTTGGTGGGTTCTCCTCTTCGTTTTCTAGTTTGTGGACTCAGGTTCGTCCAGCTACTGAAGTACACCCTGCGATGATGGACCCGCCAGTAATCATATTGATTACCCCGCGGATAGGTCTCTCCTCGGGCAACTGCCGTGGCGGCTGCTCATTCTGCCTATTGCTGATCTCGGGGGCATCCCTTCTCTTGTCCCCTGTCGGTCTACTTGCCGATCTGCCTGGCTTCTTTCTTCTCACTATACAAAGTTTTTCAAGTACCCGGGGCGGAGCGCCTCAATCTCGTCGCAGAGGTTCCCGCAGTTCTCCATACTATGCCCATGGTCTCTGTAGAAGTGACAGTAGACATTCCGATTTCTTATTGTAGGATCTCTCTCAACCTAGGAGGCTACTTGACAAAGGAGGAGCCCCTGATGGTCATTAGGATTTCTCCTCGCTTAGCATTGAGGGGTGTGTAGTTCGTCCTTTCAACAGGTGGGGTCCTGGAGCGCCGACCTGACTTGCGAGATCGCGAAGGAGATCGGCTTCCAGATTTGTTTCCTCCCTTGCTCGGGGACTTGCTCTTTCTTCTTTTATGCCCGTCATTACCTGTGTTGTCACTGTCCCTTTTTCTTTTTTCTGTCGGGTTGTCAGTCTTTTGGTTCATTTCCTCTTCGGTTCCAATGGATTGGTCAGCTAGCGTAAGGAATTCTGTGATGTCTTTTGGTTTATTGGCCACCACATGCCATTTGAACTCTCTATGAGTTATTCATTTCTTGGCTGCAGGCAGGTGTTGGGTTGAAGCGCTTGATGTAGCTTCTAATCGACTCCCCTTCTCTCTGAACCTCGTTGAGGAGGCTCTCTTGCGACCTCGGGCACTTCTTGCTGGTGATGAAATGTGAGGTAAACAACTCTGCAAACTGCACCCAGCTGTTGACCGATCCCGGTGCGAGGTTCCGGTACCATGTCTGAACTACCCCCTTGAAAGTGGTGGAGAAAGCCACACACTTGCAAAACTTGTCAGCCCCAGCTAGGTGCATCTGGGACTAGAAGGAGTCCACATGATCATTAGGATTAAAAGACCTGTCATACTTGTCCAGGGGAGGCATCTTGAAATCTTTGGGCATCGGGGTCGCCAAGAGCTCGGGAGACAGGGGAGACGATCCGGAAAGTAGGGTAGGAGTGGCCTTTGTAGCTACCGAGCTCGCTTCCTCCTTACCTTTAACCTGTCCTTGTTGGTTCGGTCTCGCTGGTTGGCTGTTCTGAGCTGAAGTTCGACGTGCCTTGGGACGCCTTCGTTGTTGCTTCTTTATCGGCTCGGCATTGGTGCTGCTGATTTCGGTATGCTCCGGTACCGTTCTGTTGCGAGGTAGCTCCTGGTTCCTTGTGGGATTCTGGGGTTGGCTATCATAGAGAAAGTGGCCTTGCCTTGAGTTCGCACCCAGAACCCCGTACCGGTTACCTGCAAGCGACCCGTCTTGCTGCGAACGTCGAGGAAGATTGACCCTGTTAGGCTGAGTATCCCCGGAACTGTTTCTGAGGTTCCCTTGCAAAGCAGGTGGAGTGATCTGACTGTCTCTCCTCCCGCGGGGTGAGACCTGACTCTTGGGAGGAACTAGGACTTGGGAAGTCTCTTCGCCTCAGTGGGGAGATCGAGTGATGTCTTGGTTCACGCGAGGTCGGTTCTGATTCTACTGGGCCCCTGGGTGCCGAGTTGGAACTGGTTGGTGGCTCTGCGGTAGTGGGGGAAACTGCTGCTGGTACTGCTAGTAGAATAAGTATTGCTGGTACTGCTGGAATTGCTGAACCTACTGCATTTGGACCTGAATGGCCCGCACACACTGCACTAGGTCGTCAAACTGGGACTATCCAACTCCGGGGGGAACCACAGAAGGCTTAGAAAAGGTTGTGCCTACCACTGGGGGAAGTGGGGCGTTCACCTGTGTGGTGTTTGGTGGCATGGTCAGCGTTGGAACCCTAGCCGTAATAAGTGGGATGGTGAACTGGCCGATGCACACTGAAGGAAGTTGCAGTTGTCCCCTAGAGACGTTCATCTCGCTGCTTTGTCCGGCGTGACTGGAAGATGCCATTGATTCGAAAGAAGATTGACTATAAAGAAGATGACTTTCTATCGCTTTCCCACAGACATCGCCAATTGATGTAGCGCGATCTGACTACTCCCTATTGAAGGGTGATCTGGCTTCCAATCGAGCAGCGAGCTAGGTGAATCTGCAAGACAGCGAATCAGAGAACCCAAGGTGGCTAACCCGGCGAGGTCGCTCCGATGCTTAAGTCAGTAAACTGTGATGCGAGCTGAAAAGCTTTGAGAACTAGAGAGCTAGAGAGTAGAAAAATCACACGTACCTTGTGTCATTGGGGTTTGTGCCTTTATATAGTTGAGCCCTCGCGGGTTTTGCGGATCGGTTCCAGGATCTTCATCCTGATGGGATCCATTTTCGCTTTAATTGGGGGGTAGCGTTATCAATTAATAAAGATTATCAATTCCGCCCAATCCAGGCGGGGAGAAGATTATGCCTGCCGTTATGCGGCGTGATCTCATGAGGTTCGGAGTCTGTTGGAGAGACTTTCAGGATCGTTACGTGGTGATCCGGGTTGATATCCCCGAGCTGATACTTCAGTCTTTTAGTTCCGAATTTGACTGAATGTCAAGGTGACTCTACGCCGAGGTGACCTTGTGTCAAGGTAATTGAATACCCAAGCTCAATTGTTGCAAACTAGGCATGCCAGACTGAGCTATCATTTCTTAGTTAGTTCGTGTCCACATATCCCCTTTTTGCTAGGTCGGGCCAAATCACCCTTCATCATTTTTATTGGTGATTTTGTCTCTTCCCAACATTGAATCGGATTGACTCACTTAACGGGGGCATGAATCAAACTTAACATTAATGGAATTGTTAGATTTGAGAAGGGCGGCATGCTTCCCATTGGTAGGTGCACGCACCCTGTGAACCGACGGGCTCACTGGATTCGTACTCCTACATTATACATTGTAGAGATACACGATAAATGAATAACAACAAGGTTTTTAAAACCAACTCAAACAATGAACAGGTCAGGGGTCCGGTTTCTGGTTTGATCGTTCGAATCAAATGGATGGCCCGTTCTAACAAAAAATAAAGAAAAAAAATGGTCAAAATCATTAAACGGTTCAAATGGCTCAATCACCCAAATCAGCGATTTGCAGATCAAATCAATGTTTTTGGCAACTTCCGGTTTTGGGGAAAACTGAAACCAGTCACATGACCGGTTTTGTTTTTTCCGGTCCGGTCCGGTTTTGAAACCATGATTAACAGTATGGATATCGAAGCAATCAGATTGCATGAAAAATAGGAATGGAGAAAAACATGGGACAACCTTTGTGGCAAATCAGGATGGTGCGAAAAAATCTTTCTGGTTCCCAAGCAATGAGCCAATATCCCTGCAATCTGCTAAGAGGGGGAGGAGAAACGACAAAGGGAAATTTTAACAAAGATAATTATGATAAAGAGAACCACACAGAAGAGTCCAACCCAAAAAACAAAAATGAAGAATCATGAGTAGGGCAAACGTTTCTTCCAAGAATATACACCACCTGCTTGAAGTCAATCCCTGTCGTGGTTTTCTCCTGTAGAAAGCAGGAAGGTGGCAATGTAAAAGACCAAAGTCATCGAAAGAAACCAACACTAAACATTTGAACAGCCATGAAGGATAAGGATCTCCTACCAGAAGGCTTTGATCATGGAAGCAATAAAATCGAATCCAAGAACCAATTGTTATCAGATCAGACATTTCAGCTTCCCTACTTTGGGCTGGAACCCAAGTAACCGAGTCGATTGGCGAGGACATTCACATCTCCATTCTCTCTTCTCTCGACCTAATGCGCCCTTGTTTGTTCAAAAGACTTTCACTAAACAATTCTTCCCAAAATCCATCATCAAGTGATTTGCTTCCATTCTCAAATTCTTGTTCTCGCTCTGCATCCTCCTCTTCTTCAGGCTCCTCTCCAGCTTTATTAAATCCCCGCATCTCTAATGCAATTATCTCCAGCTCCGACCCTTCGTACCCATACAGCTCCCCATATTCTTTTTGTTCGGCTTTAATGGGGTTTTCTTCTTCACCACTTTGAATTGCCTCATGATCAGCAACTCCAACATCGCTGGGGCCTTGATCAATTCGCCTTCTCCTTTTCTTGGTAACCGCTTCTTCTAGTTCCCTTCTCCTCTCTTTCTGTTGGATCAGTTGCTGGATAAAAGATGGGTTCTGTAGTGCTCTAGCTAAGAATGTCATCATCTGTTGCTGCTTTAGCTCTGTTCTTTGTATCCTGCTTTCCATAGCTTGAAGTTGGGCACGAGTATGCTGCTGTTGCTGTCTCAGCTTCACTAGTTCTAACAGTAGAACCTGCTTGTCACGCCTCAATCGATCGATTTCTCCATCTAATCCAAATCGTCCTACTTCGACACAAGGGCCTCCTGGAAATTGCTGCAGAGATGAAGGGTGTGGAGGTGCTTTCCTCCTCTTGATGTTCTTCAGGAGATGCTTCTGCCCTCTGAGAAATCCTTCATTTGCAAATTCCCATTTATCTGGATCAACTTTCCTAAATCCCTGTAAAAACTCATATTCCCCATTAAATATTCAAAGTTGAAGGACCGGACCCAGAGGATAAAAAATAATTGAAAACATTTTCAATTATAAAGTCTTAAAAATCTTGAAAAAGAAAAGGAGAAATTTACCAAGAAAGGAGACTCGAGCCGACCCAGTATTCCAGTAGCACCGTTTGCATTTTTACTAATATAATATATAACATATTAATTGTTTTAAATCATTAGAATATATGAGCGAGAGACACAAATCACCCACTTTCAGGAAAAAAAAAACCATTGAATACAAAAATGAAAAAAAAAAAAAATGATGTGCGGTGGAAGAATTCAATCTGTTCAAAATTGCAGAGAAGTAAATAATTTACTTAAGAAGACACTTACGTAAGTGTTGAGCTGCCTAACAAAGCTTGAGAAGTTGTTGTGCTTGAAGTATCTAGGGAGGAGACTCATGGAGAAAGTATGAGAATCCCAGACAATAAAAGTGTTGCCGTCTCTGCTCCAAGAAACTATGCCCTCGGTGCTTGGATCGTCCACCATGTCGAAGGTTTTCGTCAGGAAAGGTGGAGGGCCTAACTCATGGAGGCCCTCCATTGGCTGTGGAGGAGCCATGGGCGGATCACTGGAGTAGGATGGAGTGGCTTCTGGAAACTCTTCCTTGACTGGGCTTATAGGATTCATGGTTGGAAGTTGGAACTATCAAAATAACTCGTACCTTAATTTGGTTTTGCTCTTCTTCTTTTTTAGTATTTGGTTGAAGAATTCAATCTGATGATAGAATCAGAGAAATGGATCTATAATGAGTGTGCAGGAGTAACAAGAAAATGCAGCTAAATGAGTAATTGCTTCAACCAACTGGATAAAGAGAAATAAAAAAACTCAGGTTTTTATGGAAGCTGGGAAAATTTAGAGAAGATCCTTACAGAGTGGAACCTGAAGAAAAACTGAGTAATGGTGGAAATAAAAACAGAATAATTAATTACAAAAGGGGAAGAAAAAGTTAGATTAGACTACACAGAGAAAGGAAAAGATGAAAAATTTGCAAAAGAGATCAAGTGAGGAAAAAAATGGAGGGGAATTAGGAAAGGGAGAAGTTGAGCGTACGGCAAATGGATTTCAGTCTTACAAACAAGTGAATGCAAAAGAAGGAAAATGGAATCTGAAAATCCTTCTTCCCCAAGAACTTGTTCTTTTGGAAAGGTTGTTTAGACTTTACAGCTTTGCTGGTCACAAATGATGAAGCTTAGGTTGAAAATGGATGGGTTCATAACTGAAAGTTCTAGAGAGTAGAGACCATTGGCCATTTTTTGTCTTTGCAATGAATTCTCCTGTCTCCTGCCTTTCTGTTTTTGGCAATAGAGAGAGGGAAAGAGAGAGCAGAAAGTTCTGGAATTTGCATGGTAGAGGAGAAGATGAATTTTGGGTTTGGGAAGAAGGAAGGGAGAGGCCCAGGAGAGACAGGGGGTGGTTACGGTTTAACCCAAATTGTCTACGGTAACTGGAGGATACTGGGCCAATTACGACGCATCACGTATCCTGATGCGTGGAATTCACGTGTACGCAGCAGACATAAACTGATATGTGGGACCCGCGTATATGTTGCTGATGTGGGTTATTGTGATTGGTCAGGTGTCATAAACGAGACGACCTGTAGAGGATCCGAACGAATTGGGACCTACGCCTTACACCAACATCACTGGCACATCTCACCAATGCATGGTAAGATATAATTGTGAGATTGGTGGCGCCTTGTGTGAGAAGCAGATCCGGTATCAATTCGAACTCGTTGTTGTTGGTACTCGGTGGCTTGGACGTGGGCGTGGTGTCGTATGAAATTAGCTGCGGTGGGTTCAAATGGTTCTGGATCCCCTAAATTAATGCTTTTTATACCCTCGCACTAATTCAGGAGATCCGGACTGATGAAGGAAAAGTGGTATATGGTCAACATAGTTTCAAAATACAAGATCAATCATTGCACGCCACGTCATATTTATAAGGCCCACGTGTTAATCTGACGTGGCGTATAACTGGCCAGTTTTGGGCAACAAAATACGTTTCCCCACCCTACTAATTTGATCTGACACCGTATAGTATATATCTCCTCTCCTCACCGTAATATCTCATCTTGATATTTGGACCCACTGACCCACTGTAAAATTAGTACTCGTCATGTATGATACGTGTGGTGTTCTTGATAGGGGTTTGAACGTGTTTTGTTGGCAGGAGTCTTAACTCGTTGAATGGAGTTCACGTATAATTCGGATGGGGAAGATTTGGTACACTTGAGAATTTGTGAGGTGGTTGTGAGTTGTCCTCAATGATCTCAATTCTTAGATTTGTTAGGTAGGTGGGGAAGTACAAATACCTCCCCTCAAATTTCTGACAATTATAAAAATCTCTTATATAGTTTCATTTTAACAAACACCTCTTTTGAATTTTTGAGAAATTCAACAAAAATCTCTCTTTTGTTTAGACTAATGCATCATTTTTTCTAAATACCCATTCTTCCCTTTTAATTGTCTTACATACCAAAATACTGAAATAACCATGTTTTAACTTGATGAAAACCTCCTTTAATGGTCATTTTTAATGTTTTTTGTCGAATTAAAGCAAGATTATTTCAATAATTTTGTATGTAAAATAATTTATTAAAGAGTAAAATAGGTATTTAGAATAATGTTTTTCGTTAAAAAAAGATAATGAAAAAGAGGTTTTTATTGAGTTTCTCAAAAATTCAGAAGTATTTGTTAAAATAAAACTACAAGAGAAATTTTTATGATTGTAAGGAACTTCACAATTATTACCAAAAAAAACAATGAGATGGGCCCCGCTCCCGCATGATGCCTTCGGGTTTCACCGTTTCAATGATGGAACCTAACCATTCAATCTACTGTGTACGTTTATCATAAAAAAAAAACCTACTGTGAACGAAATCAATCAAAACTTCAGCTACGCAATTTGGGCCGAGTTCGCATCAGTCCCACAAGAGCGCGCTTCACAACGTCCTACAGCATATCCCAACGGTGTATTGCGAACATGATACAAGTACAACAAATGATAAAACATTATTGGTAGATATTTTCGATACATAATTGAAATGTACTATGGGACGTTGTGGGATGCCCCTTTGCAGGGGTTGATTTGAACTCATTTGGGACCTGCAAAATAAATAGTCACCAATACAACGATCAGAATGGATGAATTAGTGGGGCTTGGTGCGTACATTAAAATGGTATTCCATGGGGATTCGAATCCCAAAATTTTTAGTTAATAATACTTTTTGAAAATAAATTTATTTAAAATAAATAAAAATTTTATTCATAAATTCAGATCGCATGGATTCTCGTGCCTTACTTTGATAACATTTCAGTATTTCATCCGCCATTGTATTTATGAGTAATGGGGCAATGTTTTCTTAGGAAGTAGGGAAATGCATTACTTGAGTAACACCAAATAAACGAGGCTAGTGTAGATATAGGTTCACATAATAATTATTCCCTTTAGCCTTTGTTTACTTCTACATAAACTCAATTAAAAACAGTATTTTCATTATAAAAGAATATATATATATATATATATATATTAAAATTGGGCCTACCATGTAGGTAGACCTCTACTTTCTCTCCTACCATTTATTTATTTTGTGATTTTTTGAATTTTTATTTTTAAAATTAAACGAAATAATTCAGGTAACCAATCAACTTTAAGTCTACAACACTTTCATCTCTCCTCAATACACTCACCATAACCATTTCTTCTCTCTCATTAACTTCATTGATTATCTCTCCTCATTAATCATTCTATTAATTCTCTCCTCTAATAACTTAGGCCATGTTTGGGAGTGCTTATATTAAAAATAAGTGTTTATTGAATAAGTGCTTATAAACAAGTGAATAAACACTTTTTTGTATTTGGCACCCAACTTTTTCAAGTCCCTATATAAAAAATAAGCACTTATTTCATATTGGACATTTTGCAGTCTTTTTCTTCAATAAGCACTTAAATAAGCATTTGTGACTATTTTGTTCTTCATTTTCTTTCAAATTTTACAAAAGCACTTTTATGAAAATACTTTTATAAAAACACTTTTATAAAAATATTTTTACAAAAACACTTTTCCAAAAGTACTTTTATAAAATTCAACTAGGGATAGTTTTATAAGTGGTATTTTAAATTTCAACTAGGGATAATTTTGGAAGAAAAATTTTGAATAAGTGCTTATTGTATAAGCACTTAAAAAAACTAGAAATTTGAACTTAAAAAATAATCACTTATTTCAGGCTTATTTTCCAAACACCAATGAGTGCATAATGGTGTAGTCTCGACCTAAATAAGCACTTATTTTGAGCACTCCAAAATGTGGCCTTAGTCCACTAATTATCTCTCTTCTCAATTACTCCATTATATTACTTAAAATTCATTTACTCTTCTTTTCCTTCTTTTCATTTTATTCTCTCCTACCCTCATTCATCTAATAAACCAAAAGCAATAGTCTAACTTTGGTCCAAACCGATATTAGCTTGCAAATTTTAGGGCCAAGCTTAAGCCTAATATTTTAAGGCCAACGTTGGCCCAGCTTAGCCCGTGAACAAATATTGGTTTAAAAGTTAGCTAATAAATAATTAAATCACCTAAAAAAATAATGAGAGAGGGGGGATTCCATTTATTTCTATAGGTGTCTTCCCTTATTAGACCATTTTAGCATATTAGAGAGAGAGAGAGAGAATTTTACTCTCATCCAAATTCCATTTATTTGTTTTATAATCAAATTTATTTAATTTGTTATTGGTTAATTGTTAGAAAATTACAATTTGAACCTAATAAAAAGTTAATAAAATGTCAAATTTTAGCAAGCTTTTTATCTATCAACTATTAAAAATTAAGAAATTAATAAAAATTAGTAATTCATAAATTAAAAATTAAAATCTATTTAAAAATAACTAACATTAACAGGATAATTAAAGTTAATAATAAAAAGTAAAAAAATTATATGTATTAAAATAAATCATTTGCATTTCATATAAAAATAATTAAAACAATATAACTATTAATGACCCAATTAGAAATGTCATAAGTCTCCTTCTACTTATGGGTGACTATTTATAACTTAACCTAACCAAACTATAACTACAAATTTTTTGGCTCAAACAACTATTTTCTTCCAAGCTAGGTTTGGCTCAAATATGCACCAAGCCTACACACAATGTGGATAGTATGGCTATAAGTGGATTGAATTTAGACCGGATCTAGTTGCATCTGCATCCACATCCAATTATTATATTGGATTTCAGGTCAAATACGAATTAATATGCAACCACCTTATTGTGTTTAAAATGACCAAATTTTAAAAAGTTTAAACAACTAATTATTTAAAGTATGTATGTATAATAAAAACATATAAATATAAATGTTATATAATTATACATAATATCTATATGTATACATAAATTATATTACATACATACATAAAATAATAATTTTTATTGGATTCAAATTTTAATCATGTTAAATATGGTCAAATTCACATCTAATCTGATTATTAATCCGACGCAAGTTCTAACATCCAAGTCTGAGATAATAATATTTGGAGTTAAGTTGGGTATTGGGCTTTTAGAGTTCATTGACGGTCTTAGTTGGTAGGGCCCAAATTTGCCTGTATTTTTTGTTGTCAGAACATGTCGTCTATTCAAACCAGGCGGTTGAACCATCGACCTGAAAACCAGTGGCAGATAAGATATATCATGGTTTTCAAAACTGGACCGGACCGGACACTCGGACTGAAAAACCGGGAACCGGTCATCTAACCGGTTCCGTTTTTCCCCAAACCCACTTTCCCCCTCAAAACCGTTGATTTTGATTAACAAACCATTGAACCGACTAATTAATCGTTCGAACCGTTTTTCAAATTTTTAAATTTTTGTATTTCTTTTTGTCAGAACGGGCCAACTGTTCGAGTCGAACAGTTGGACTGTTCGAACTGGTAACTGGACCCTTACCGGTTTGGTTTTATATATAATTATATATGCTTATATATATATATATGTATAGTTATCAGTCCCTGCAACTCCGCTAGTATTAGGGAGAAACAATCAGTCAACGGATCACCAATCAACAAGAAGATAAACAGTGAAAGCGGTCCCATGTATTAAAATATGCTTGTGGTCAGAATCGTCCACGTATTTGGTGGTGGTCGGTTGAAGGAAAAAAAGCCTGCATCTGCAAGTGGGTGTTTCAGCTCAGGTGATTTTTGTGGCAACCAACCAACCACAAACAGTACCATCTTGATTCTTGATTTGACACGCCAAACCGACCAAAGCTGTAGTGAGAGGGTCCACACACCCCTCTCCTCCACGCCACAGCACAGGAAAATGAGAAATCTTAGTACATTTAATTTAATTTAAGGTTGTGTTTGGTGTTTGGACTTTGGATTAGACGAAACTTTGGGAT